GAATGTTTCTCTCTCATCGATGTTTCTAACTATCTATCCCCCTCCCTTCCTATATGTAAAAAATAAATAAAATAGCCGAAACCGGTGTGGTGCAGTGGATAGAGCGTCGGCTTGAGGACTGATGGGTCCCAGGTTCGATTCCGGCCAAGGGCATGGACCTGGGCTGCGGGCACATCCCCGGTGGGAGATGTGCGGGAGGCAGCTGATCGATGTTTCTCTCTCATCGATGTTTCTGACTCTCTATCCCTCTCCCTCCCTCTCTGTAAAAAATCAATAAAATGTATTTTAGAAAAACACAAGTAACAGAAGGACACCCCCGCTGTGTTGGGGGCGGAGGTTAAATCTCACACCGACACCCGCTGGTCACGTGGCCGGAAGCCACCGGCAGCGCTGGCGGGTGAGGAGCCGCAGTACATTCACCCCCAGGAGCCGAGGGGCCGCCCCCCCAGAAACCCCCCGGGACCGGGCCGGGCATCGGGGAAACTACACCAACCACACCGTCTGCGGAGACACCGGGCCCACCGACAGCCCGTGACAACTCCCCCGGCCCTCCGCCCTCTTCCCCTTAAATGCCAGAATTATAAATTCTTGTAACAAAAGCCTTTGCTTCGTCCCCAGGATTGGCAGCCACCGTTTGCATGTGATGTCGACAAGCTCCACTTCACGCCCCGGATCCAGAGGCTGAACGAGTTGGAGGTGCTGTCTTCACTGCTGTGCTGGGTCCTGGGTCCTGGGGGGAGGAGGGAGCCCCTGCCAGAGGCCCCCCCACAGGGCTAGTGGTTTTAGTGAAACTGAAGTATGGCCAAATCACCGAAAATCATGGTCAAGAAAGTGGCAACGAGGCCTTTACAGCAAATCCATTTTCATTGAAAACACCGATTTTTGTCCCTGGCTGGCCGATTCTTTCATTGAATCCACATTTGGTGGCAACCCCTCGAATTTGGGTTTTGAAGGAATGTCCTTTGAGAACCATCTAAAGGGAGAGACCTTCAGCTCTGGCTTCCTTCCAAATGCATATCTCACCCCAGTTTGCTAGCACATTGTTTCCCGAGGAGTGAGCAGGGGGCTCTAGAGAGGAGCAGTGTGTCTCAGCGCCGTCTGCTGGGACCCTCACTGCCGGGCGCGCAGGGCTTGGGGTGGGAACGGAGGAGGCGGGGTGTTCACCGTCATGGTTTGCTGACCTGGTTTTTTTTTTTTTTTTTTAAATATACTTTATTGATTTTTTACAGAGCGGAAAGGAGAGAGATAGAGAGTTAGAAACATCGATGAGACAGAAACATCGACCAGCTGCCTCCCGCACACTCCCCACTGGGGATGTGCCCGCAACCCAGGTCCATGCCCTTGACCGGAATCGAACCCGGGAGCCTTCAGTCCGCAGGCCGACGCTCTATCCAGTGAACCACACCGGCCAGGGCTTATCTTTATTGTCGAAAGGACATGTGTCCCCTTTCCTCTCACTGCCCCCCACCCCACCCCGGCGGCCCCAGGCCCTCAGCACTCTGTGGTCTGTGTCCATGGGCGATGTGCACACATCACTGACATTTCTTTCTCCCTCTCCCTTCCTCTCTGAAGTCAATTTAAATATAAATGTAAAATCTATACATTTAGCCCTGGCTGGTGCGGCTCAGTGGATAGAGCCTCATGGGCCTGCAGACCGAAGGGGCCCGGGTTCGATTCCGGTAGAGGGCAGGGACCTGGGCTGCAAGCTTCTCCCGGACCGGACCCTGGTCAGGGCTCCTGCAGGAGGCACCGGGCGATGTGTTCTCCCTCTCTCTCTAAAAATCGACAGAAAAATATCCTCCCCCGGCCAGTGTGGCTCCGTGGATAGAGCGTCGGCCTGTGGACTGAAGGGTCCCGGGTTCGATTCCAGTCAAGGGCACAGGCCCAGGTTGCGGACTCGATCCCCAGTAGGGGGCCTGCAGGAGGCAGCTGATCAGTGATTCTCCCTCATCATCGTTTATCTCTCCTTCCCTCTCCCTTCCTCTCTGAAATCAATAAAAATATTTTTAGCCCTGACCGGTGTGGCTCAGTGGATAGAGCATCGGCCTGCGGACTGAAGGGTCCCGGGTTCGATTCCGGTCAAGGGCATGGACCTTGGTTGTGGGCACATCCCCAGTGGGGAGTGTGCGGGAGGCATCTGATCAATGTTCCTAACTCTCTATCCCCCCCTCCCTTCTTCTCTGTAAAAAGTCAATAAAATATATTTTAAAAAAAGAAAAATATCCTCCAGTGAGGATTAAAAAAAATAAAATATATAATGTATAAAATGTATGTAATTAATAAAATGTATATACTTATACATATCTCTGTATAACACATAGACTTTTTAAAAAATACATATAAAGAGCAGCGACAACTGCACAACCTTCCGAATGCACAACCAACCCACCCAATTGTGCACTAAAACCGCTCATTTGATGAGGTGAGAAAAAAAATTATGTAAATCTCTTTAAAAAAAAAAAAGCCCTCCGCAACCCGCATCGGCCCAAGCCCGTCGCCCCCAACCCTCACCCCCGTGAGGGGCCCCCCGCTCGGCTCCCGGCCTTTGTTTTTAATTTTCCT